GCCGCGTGGGGGGGCTGTCCCAAGGGGTATGCGGGGATGGGGCACACGGAGCGGGGGTATCCCGGGGGGGCTGTCCTGGGGGCGTGCGGGGGGCGCACGGAGCGGGTCTGTCCTGGGGGGGGGCACACTGAGCGGGGGAGCTGTCCCGGGGGGCGCACGGAGCGGGGCTATCCCCAGGGGGGGGGCCCAGGGAGCCTGTGGGGGTCTGTCTCGGGGCCGGGCGAGGAAAAGCTCCCGCTCCCTCCTCCCCCGCGGGCCGGCGGCGCAGGGGGCGGGGCGCTGCGTCTCTGCGCGCGGCCAGGCCCTGGCTCGTTACTCAGCGGCCGCGGCTGAAGCAGGAGGTGGCGGCGGTGGCGGTGAGTGCGGGGCCGCGGCCTGTCCCGGGGTGCGGGACCGGGACCGGGACCGCGACCGCAGGGGAAGCGCGGCCCGATTCGGCGCAGGGGTGGGCCTGACTCGGCCGCTCAGTAGAGGTTGGGGTTGGGCGGCGATACCGGGCTGGGGGAGGGGTGCGGCGCCAGCACAGGGCTCGGTGGGGGCGGGGGTGAGGGGGCAGTGTGTGGGTCTTTGGGGGAGGGGCTGCGGGATGGGGTGCAATAATGTTCGGGGGGGGCGCCGTGGGGGAGGGGCAGATAGTGGAGATGTATGCGGTTGGGAGGGATGCAATGATATTTGTCTTTGGGGGGGGGGGCAGCTGGAAGGGATCGGTGTAATGATCCTAGGGGGAGGGGAGTTATTGGGGGTGCATTGAAAGGGGGTGGAATAATATGTGGTTGTTGTGCGGGGAGGGGCGACTGAAAAGGGATAGCCGCAATGTTTTTGGGGGGGAGGGGCAGGTAGTGGGATGCATGCAAAGGGTGCAATGTTTAGTTCTTATGGGTGTGCAGTAACAATAGTGGGGGCAGCTGGAGGGAGAAGTGATCATAGTGGGGTGAAAGAGGAGATATGGGGGACAGTGGTGGGAAGAAGGGGTGCCAGAGGGCTGGGGCCTGTACACATGGAGGTCTTGTTGTCAGCCCTTGATTTAGGGACCTTCGTCATCTGTTTAGCACCTTACACCCCTCTGGATTTTATACATAACCCGTAGCAGGTGGATAGTGCTCCACAGCTGTGCTGGGCTGTTGTTGCATGTGGGCTGGGTGACATACTGGGGACCAGAAGAGCACTACAAAACATGGGGATATGTTTGAGGGTGGGAGAGAGAGGAGGAATATCTCTTTGTTGGTTTGGCAGTACAAGCATAGGCATAATGCACAACAGTGGGACTTTTCTCCTTGGGAAGAATGTAAGCCAAGCTCAAGCTGTGGAAGGATCTTCTCTCATCTTGCAAACCTGCCCTCTGTGTAAGCTTGGCAAAATTTGATTTTTTTTATAATTTTGACAATTTTATTTTAAAGTACTTGGATCGATTTAAGTGTTCGCAGTTGAGGGAAATGGTGGAGGCTGGTCAGATAATAATTTAATGACCCTAGACATTGAGATTCAAAAAGTTACAGTTTTATAGCCCTTAAAACACAAATTGTCAACACCATGCCAGAATATACAAAGTAAATATCCTTAAATCAAACTCTAAGAAGTCCTCAAGCAGCATTTTTCTTACTTGGCATATCTGTACATTTTGGAAATATCTTAGGTTGGTTTCTGTGTCTACAGTAAAGTCAGCGTTTATCAACATTTACAGATAAAAATTAATTTTTATCCAAACCTACTTGTATTTTATTGTAAGCTTTTTGGGGGAAAGAGGTTTGAGTTGCTGTAGAGTGTAGTAATTTGAAGTGAATGAGATCTGTAACAACATTCAAAATCACTGTTTTTGAAAAAATACCTTTTTGTTCCTCTCAGATATTTTATTTCCAAAGACAGCTGCTTAGGGAGTTTGGCAATATTTTTTGTCTCTTCTGCATTTTAATCCTAATACTTTTTGTTAAAAGTGAATGAAGTGTTTGAAGCTTTTCTGTTGCCCTCCTCTAGTTCCTCTTTATCTCTAGTAGTGTCAGAATTGACTCTGAAAGCTTCTGATTTCTTCAGATTTCTCTGTGCAGTGGTTCCATCAATGCAAAATATAAGAGTCTGTTAATAAGCTGCAAATGTGACTCCCACAAGCCTTGTTTCTTCCCAGTTATGGTGACATAGTTGGGTTTATACAGTCTTGCTGAATTTCAGTTTTATATAGAGGGGCCTTGCAAAAGTATTATGAATATTTTTTCAGCCCAGGCAGAATATCTGCTTACCTAGCTTGACCATAATTATGTAAACACAAATGATGTTTTACTCACCCATCTAAAGAAATTAATTGCTCTAGGGCAAGTGTGTGAGGCAGAGTTTTGCAAGCTTATATTACAACTTGGTTTTATTTAGAGGTTTGGAGATTACTTTTGGTAACAGTCTGCGATTAATTCATTGAAAAACTAGTTTAATTTTCAGAGTTGTAGGCAAATGCACTCCTCTTTGGGTGAATCGGGTGTTTAAAACAGTTTTGTAGCATGTTTTATTTTGTTCGCATAAAGTGGTACACTCAAGTATTGAATTCATTTAGAATTAATTCAGATTGTAGCCCGAAGGGATATTGGGTCAAATTCCTAGCTAAGGGTACTAACTAAAAGTGAGTTCAGTGACTTTTTAGACCCCTCAAATTGTACATTCTATGAAGAAGAATATATAATAAAGACATAGCTAATGAAATTCAAATATGCTTATGCCTCTGTTTTGACCTCAGTCAATGGCGGCAGCCATCTTAAATTATTTTTCTCGTATCTGAATCTAGTGACGCTCTTCAGTGTTTCTATCAAGTAAGTTCTAATGCGTAAAGCAATACATTTTCCTTAATAATGTATGTGTTTTAAACTCTTTGTTTTCTTCACAGGTGAGGCCCCGGACTGGCAGAGTGGTGAACTTACTCTCTGCTAGCGTAGGATTTTTATTGTACACTTACTAGTTTGGTGTCCAGTCTAGTTTCTCATATGCTAAGCAGTGAGATTTACATATGTAGGGAGAGGGTGATTAGGGTACCTGTTCGTGGTAATGGATGAAGTGTCCAGGCATGGAGTTTGGTTTCTGGGGACGGACTCTGAGATATTTCAGAGAAGCGACTTTTTCCTGAAAAAGCGTGAGGTCTGATGGATGTAGATTGTATTTGATACAAACTTACGTACACAAAAACTTAACTGATTCCATCTTATCCAAACACATCTTTCTGAGCATCCTGTTTCTCCCACTGAATGTATTGGAGTGAGTTTGTTTCGGTCTTTGTCATCAGGTATCATAGAATGATTGTCTCCAAGTTCTGAGCCAGTTGTTTAACTTTGAAATGTTTGGAATAAATATCACTTTATCTTTGAAGTGTGGGGAATAGGTTGGAGGAATAGACAATGGTGATCTGAAATTTTGGAAATACACAAGTCTTTTTTCAGAATGAGATTATAGTCTTAAGAAGGACTATAGGGAAAAAAAGGCAGCATCTTATGTGGTAAATCTGCATCCTGTGCATACTCAAAACCATATAGTCTTGCTTTTTACTGATTAATAAGGTTTTACTCCTGTTGGCCCTGCATAGCCAGTTCAGCAATGGTAGGATGAGGAGGATTCACTTCTGGTTTGTGCATCATCACTGACAGAATTGCTAACCAGATTTCTGATTGTAGAATCTCCATTGCTGATTATTCAGGAGCCAGAAGGAACCCAGCTTGGTTTTCAGATTCCAGGTCAGTTTTCAGGGTTGACAGTTAAGACCGGGGGGGCGGGAGGGGGGAAAAGAGTTTTTGTATACTCAGCAAATTTGAACTGGAGTGGATGAGAGAGACCAAATGTCAAACCTCACAATGCCATTTTTTAGATTCACTTTCCAGAGTAGGAAAATGAACCTAAAAAAGGCACAAAAGGGTTTTCTAGGAAAAAGTACAGTTTGTCAAACGGGCTAATTTTAGGGAGCAGTGTTTTTGAAGCTTTGTAGAAATGTATGTACAATTTATTTGGCAAATCCATTAGATGGACTTGCTTATAAGGTCAGGTATCTTATTTTAACAAATTTAATCATTATACAGTAAAAGCTGTGTTATCTGGCACTTTAGCAACTGGAAAGCTCTAGAAACTGGCATTTCTGATATCTCCCAATACAAATCTTCAATAGGGTTGCCATTAAAAGTCTGGTTGGCGCGGTGCCGGCAGGCTCCCCACCTGGCTCCACGTGCCTCCCCAGAAGTGGTGACATGTCCCTTTCTTCTCTTAGGCGGTGGAATGGCCACGGGGGCTCTGTGTGCTGCCCCTGCCCCGAGCGCAGGCTCTGCAGCTCCCATTGGCTGGGAACCACAGCCAGTGGGAGCTGTGGTGGCAGCGCCTGCAGGCGAGGCAGCACACAGAGCCACCTGGCTGCACCTCTGCCTAGGAGCCAAGGGACGTGTTGCCACTTGTGGGGAGCTACCTGAGGTGAGCGCTGCCTGGATCCAGCACCCTGAAACTCCTCCATTGCCCAAACCTCCTGCCCCCTCTCCCACACCCAAACTCCCTCCCTCCATTGGTAAGTATATCTCTTAGTTAACCGGAATTTTTGACTAACCGGAACCCCCCATTCTCCCAACATAATTATACAATGTTTTGGTTCGCCATCTGGAATACATATAATAAGTTTAAGATACTTTCATGTCTTACGAGTGGCATGCGTTCTGCAGCGGTTCTTCAGCTACAGAAATTAGATTTTGATGTGGCTGTTTTAAGCAACGTGTTAATGTTATAGAAGCATTTGGGATTGTAATTCTTTCCATTTATTGTTCAACATCAGTTTGCTACCTTTGATTCTCAACTATAAGTACTTTTTCAATTCTTACAGACTGTTCCACAAGATGTGTAGAGTGCACATTGAACTTTCTGATTGTGAATGATCAGATAGTGTTGTGTTCATATATCATGGTAATTAAATGTTTTTGGGGTTTTTTTTTACATCTTATTGGTAGTATGTTGAGAAATGTACTAAACTGTCTCTTAGATTTGATCTCTCCTAGGTTGTGATGGAGGGGGTCTCGAGTTGAGTAGAAATGTACTGTATATTCTTTTACAAATTATACTTCTGACTCTCTTTTGGGCCTAGGTGCCCTTTTAAGAAGGGGTATAATATATTTCATCTTCAAAATATCTACTATTACTACTACTATCTATCAGTTATTAAACTGAGATTTTAAAAATCCAATTGAAACGGAATGCTTCTTGTTTATTTCTGCATTTATCTCAGCTTGGACAGTGAAAAATCAATGACATTGTTTACACTCAGTGTTCTTAATACTGGGACATTAGGCTTTCAAACACTGCAAGAAATTTGTTAAAAGCAACTGTTTCTATTTATGCGTCTTTTTAAGATTTGGGAATG